ATCATTTGGATTTCACCTCTCACCTGATTTGTAACACTAAACAACAGCAAATGCACATGTTTTTTACCTCCAGATTTATTGCTGTTGACGCTGCTGAACGATGGCTACAGTTGTTATAATGAAGAGAACAAGGTCGCATGGCAGATTTGTGGCATCTTTAATTGTGCTGCTGGCGGGGACTCAAGGCTGTTTGACAAAAGGAACGCTGCACCAAGTCACCCGTGATTGAAAAGGCAAATGACTAAGATGAAATTACACAACATTTACTTACATTGAGGATGCACTGAGTCATAAAGCTGTCTTATGAGCTGTAATATGAAATTCAGCAGAAATTTTAATGAGCACAGGGATGAAAATTATATTTATAATAATTGAATTTTTAGCATAAAACACACTGTTGATATAACAAACTGGAAGTAAGTTTTATTGAAAGTTCATTTATATCAAGAGTTAAAAATATATTATTACATCCTGAGAATTTTTAAAAAGAGTTTCTGTTCATTTAGATGATTGTGTCATCAAAATGAACCGAAATAAAAACTAGAAACATAGCACAAAACAAGTTTTTCTTTTTGTAATTGAATTATTGAAAAAATGTATAACTTGAATGATATTCCGGTTTATTCACATGTGCTTGTATCTCAGCCTGCAGTTGCTCAGTAGCTTGCTAGATTTGAACAACTTGCACCTCCGGCTCACCCACAGGAGGGATGTGATGAAGGTCCCATATTACAAGACTGGGACTGGTGATTAAACGTCTGAAAACTTCTGAAGGCTTTATAGTGATAACCATATAGTGATCGGGTGATCTGTATCTGACCTTACAGCTTAACGTCACCATGTTTTAAATCTTTAAAGCAACTCAGAAGACAATTGTAACGTGTCAGCTGAAAGAAGTTATGCAAGCTTGGTGCTTCTGTGCCTCAGAGATGACTGCAGCCTCCCTGAGTCAGCTGTGTCTTATCTCCAAGTCAAATACCACAGCCTGTGTGTCATTTTGTGATGTTGTTTCTCAAAGAAAATATTTCATTATGCTGTAAAAACTGAGTCCAAACTACTCTGAGAATTGTGTCCTGACCAAATTAACATTTTATGTTGTTCTAAAAGTAGACTAAGACTTTTGCACTTCACATTATAGAAACACTAGCTGCTGTTCTGCCATACATCTTACACGTGAATATGATTTAGAACATTTAGAACATCCTGTTCTGCCCAATTGTTATAGACCAAGAAGCACAGATGGAGATAAAAGTGAAGAGTAGGTTGCTGACTGCAATTAAATGTCTGCTCTTGCACTTTAATAAAATCTATCTCTATCAGTGAGGGAGGATTTTCCTCATTACCAAACTGTTCTCTTAGGCTTCCTGACATCAGGCTCCACAGAAGCCACTTATTTGGTTCTTCTTGATGAAGAACCAAATATGTATTCCCAATTAACAAAACACTGTGTCTCTCGCACATCACCTGCTCCAGTTGATTTGATGGATCTCCGGATAGCCGTTCGGTCTCACAGACAGCAAAAACAGAAAGTACAATTGATGAAGCGGTCCTAAGTTGCTCGAGCTCAAACTTTAGAACATGTATCAGGCTCCTCATTAGCAGAGTGAGATCACTCATTGCTACAGCAGCAATGAGTGAATTCAATTTGTCAATTTGTCTGCAATTATATAAATAAATGGAATGGGCTGGTCTCTCTCCCCTTAATTTTCCAAGGTTGTTGGTGTTTGTGGTCTCCAGCCAGAAAAGCAGGGAATCACAGTTTGTGCTTTATGAATAAAACCCTTCAAAGGTGCTACATTTTGCTAGATTTAAATATGTTCTTTGGTTGCACATATTTTACTTCTTCATGGGTGCAGAAATGGCTTCCTATGTTGACATCGTTCATATAACATATTAAAATTATATTAATTGATTTTAGATACAAACCTGAGTTCAATACATTGTAATTTCACATGATGCAAAAAGTTGCCACACTTTTGAATTAAAGATAATGTATCAACAGGACATTTCCCTTAGATTACACATCTATGCTGAGATGGTTTATGTTGCATCACTTTTGTACTACAGCAAAAAAAAAAAAAAAAAACCTCACATGTTCCAGATGTGATTACATTAAGTGACAAAATATATCTGTAACAAAGGAAAACATTTTAAATGTAGAGTTTTTGCCATATGTTTCATGTTATATAAAGCATCTATGTGAACTAAAAGGTTTTCTATTACTACATAGCATAGTAGCCAATTGAAACATATGTGACATTTTCCCCACATATTTAATGTGAAGTCATAATTACAACCTGTCATAAGAAAAGTTTTCCTGCATATGATTGATTCCAGACTTGATTTCCACATGGAAAAATCTTCCACGTGTGGAAGCAATGTTTGGGAATTACTTGTGAAAAATGACAAAGAAGCAGAAAAACAGCAGATTGTGAGTGTAATTCCTGATATCAAAGTTTCAAGACAAGTAACTAACTTTGTGAGAGCTGAAGGGGAAAAGAGACTCGTATTGTTAAAGAGCTTTGAGTGACTCGAAAAGTGACATATATCCATTTACAATTTCACTTGCAACTCTCACACTTTATCCCATCAAAGTATCCCTAACCACATGCTTTCCATGTGGAGGACAAGTGTTTTAGGTATCTGGCATTCAAATTTAACATGTAATATTTCACGTCTCATCACAGTGGATTTTGCTCACTCGTGCGGTGTTCTGATGAGAGAAATGAAAGCTGGTGATGCAACTAGTAAACGATTGCTAAGAAACTAACGATGCCTTTAGTAGTTTTTGTTTCACTTTGCCATACATTTATGGTTTATAAATTAAGAATGATAGTCTAACGTTATCTGCCAATATTTCAACACTCTGATGCTCCACACATTTACACCTTTGATTGTCAGTCTTATCTTTTTAATCTGGGTTGTTAAACTCTCCTTCTCCACACTCAGCCTGAGACTATTCCCTGCTTCCCAACTCTCATTTATTTCCATTGGAGAGCATCGATTGGCTTATTTAAGCCCTTCGCTCTGGACTAATATTTCACCTCTCATCGCTTCACTCAACTCATCCATCCTTTTCCTCATCGTTCTTCACTCCCTCTCCCTTCATCATCAGCCCCACCCTTCAAACAATTGACTGCAGAGACAGTATGAGTCCAACTTGATGGGTTGAGTCCCTGATTGGAACGGGCCCTTGGCACAGCATGGATCATCTGAACAGCACAAACATGCATTTATGAGTATTTGACAGCTTTTACTGAGCCAAACTCAGACGAGCCTTTGTGAATGATTGGGTGTAGATTTAAAATGTCTTTTCACGCCAGTTGACAGGACTACATTTATCAGCTCTGGTCTTTGGCAAAAATTGACTAAGTGCTTTCAAACTCGATTGGATTTGCTTCCGCAACAAGCAAATGGAAAGAAAACGTTCCTAAAGAAATCATTATCAAATTTAACTGAGATGCAACAAAAAGCATCCGTGGGAAGAAGATGGAGGAACTTTTGTAATAGGATAACGATTCCAACATAGTAAACGTCTTCACATGACACATAAATTAAAAACCACTGAACACACACATTCAATTATCTACCAAAGCGGTTGCTACATAGCAAATATTAAACAACTCATCATAAACACTCCCACAATGTTCGGAGCAGTGGCTCATGGGAGTTTTAAATTGGTGGAAACCCACTGTCTTGCTTTGAACAAGTGGAGATCCGTTTTCAGCCTTATTTAGTTATTTTTCATTATTTCCATCCCCATCCGTAGCATTAGCCACTTTTGAAATGCTACATTTTTTACTTCCTGAAGCCACTAGCCTCTGCTGCCTAAAAGTAATCACACTGCTTGAAATTTTTCAAACAACAAACAATGCCTGTTTTTTAACATTTGTAACAAATGAATATCAGAAAAGTTATGCATTTGAATTCAGACCCTTGACTCTATTAAGAAAACAGTGCAACCAATTGCCTTGAGATGTTTGGAGAGTGGAAATCCCCAGAAGTCCCTCATTAGTGTATAATATGGATATTCCATTATGTTGGTACTTTACATAACGTTCCCTTTCACTCCAAACCTGTTATGCACTTTTTTGTCAAATGGGTCTTGGTTCTTCTGCTACATTCTTATCAGTACATAACAGATTAAACTTTTCTAAAATACACAAAAAATAAATATATAAATAAATACTCACACACTTTTCTTGAACTCCTGGAGAAACTTTGGGTGAGCCAGAGTTGGTTCTCAGGGCTTTCATGCTTAAGCGAATAATTCTTAAGAGTGCTGTGAAAAAAAAAACACTTGCCCACTTACAGATTTCTTCTTTTATTCCAAATCAAACAAATTTTAATACCAGGCAAAAAATTGCTCAAGTATATGGAAGAAGAATTTTTTGAGATTATTTCACTCATCCAGCCAACCTGGATTTTGAAGTGTTGGATGGTGAAACATCTTCAAGAAACAAAACACAGTCACCTTCTACTTAAGCACTGGTAGAAGTGCTTAAGTAGCACTTCTACCAGTGTAGAAGCATGACAGTCCTTTAGGACTGTCATGCTTTAGGAATTTTGGCACTGTTTTTGGAAAAAACTGAAAGCGTCTTAAATTTAAATCCAGACTTTGACAAGGCCGCACTGAAACCTTTTAGTTTCCTTTAGAAGTCAGTCAGATGTGGAGCTGCTGCTGGGCTTTCAATCACTGTCTGGCTGCATAAGTCAAGTATTCTTGAGGTTAAGCTTCCCCACTCCCTGGATAGCAAAGAACAATGAAACTAAGATCTGAAAGCTGCTTTTTGTGTCTGCTCTGACATCGAAATCTGATTATTCAAAATGTCTGCCTTCAAATAAGTCTTCTAAACCAGTCCAACAGCTTCATGCACTTTAGACATTTCAACAGTTTACATGTCAAAATAAATGAGACTGCCATTTTTATTATCTAACAATGTCCATTGTTCAAAAGATATAATTCACTTGAATCTAAAAAAAAAAAAAAATCATGAAAATAAAATGTAAAAAGCCATTTTATTTTATTTTTAGAAAATATATACATTAAAAACACAAATACATACACACACAGACATACCGTGTGAACAACCATCAAACTCCAGGCATCTATTGCTGCATACAGTGGGATCCAGAGGTCTGAGTCCAATACAAGGACCTACACCATCTGACATCAAATTTCCTTTTTATTCTTGAAATGATCTTATTTTACATAAATAGCATTGCTACATTGTGTTTAATTCACAGGGTATAGTCCATCAGTTACAGCTGAAATATAAGAACCAAATTAAATGTTGCAAAAAAAAAAAAAAAAAGGTGCTCTCTGTTCCAAGACAGCAACTTAAAACTTAAGATAATTAAAAATATAGAGAAGAATCTAATAGTTCTGTAGAGGCAGCAGACCAACACTAAACAGCCTGAAGTATCACTTAGTGCTTGCATAGCTCTTCCTTCCTGGAAAAAAGAAAAACCTCCTAGGCATATATGCATAGGAGTATTAGTTAAAGCAAATACCAAATAATCAGAGTAACACATTAAACAAGATTCTGACACCAGACTCAGGCTTTTGAAACCCACTGCATGTCTGTGTACTCATGTATTTGTGTACAGCTCATGTATATATTGCATCAGCAGTTTTATTTAAGAAAACAGCGCCCCTTACAGACCGCCACGTTTCCCGACTTTGCAGTTCTCCTGAGTCCGAGATCTAACCGCTTCCCATGCAGAAGCTAAAAGCAACATTTGAGGCTTTCAAAAACATTACGAGAACAATAATTACAGATTTAGGAAAAAAATAAAAAGACTTAAACCACATGAGCCATAGAAACAGTGATACTTGTACTTGTTTCAGACTGAGACATGGTAATTTCTCTGCAAATGTTTGAAGGAAAGGACACACGAGACCAATCAAAGGTTTTTACCTAAACGGAGGAAATTAAAACCATGAAGTCAAGATGTCAAAGGATGTGCAGGGAACTAACAAGCTGGTAGATATCATATCAGCGGAAAAAAAAAAAAAATACAGGAGCTTCAACCACAATCTTACAGTGTCTGATAAAACTTGATCCTATGTACAGTTAAAGTTTGGGGACTGTGCTATAAGTATAAAACGATAATTTCTCTCCTTTAAACCAAATTAAGCCGATACATTGTTCAAATCAAATATAAATAAAATAATAAAACACCAGCAACTCAGCCTTAAAGGGAGATTGATGTAAATATATATTTACAAAGAACAATCTTTGTTTCTGCTGGTCAGAGCCAATGCAATGTGTTCAGGTTTAAACAGCAACTGAAAAGATGAAAACACCAAGACGACCCTGCTGTCAGTTTGCGGCGGCTTCTTAGGCCTTTAAAATGAAGAAAAACACTTAACTATAAAATTATCTTTAGAAGTCAAACACTTGACTTTAAAAGTAGGGAATTACATCCTGCAAACCACTATTTTATATTCCCAACACAAAATTATACTTTACCTTCATCTCCATAGTCACTGACTGTCCCATGAATGATCAGTAATGAAGGGAAATCAGTTTTAAAGTAAATCTTCAACTTAATTAGCGTAGCGTGTGCAGCAGGTTGAGACATCAGTACTAAATTGGCACCTGATCTCAACAGAACCACAACTGGGAATGCACCGATAAATTGACTCTTGGACTAAAACCAGTTGAGTCGGGCCTTCCTACTCACACTCTTCTGTGGGCACACCATTACTGAGTGGAAAACACCTACCAACAGTAATGTATTTAAAATAATAAAAATAAAAGATGCAAGGAGCTATTTGAAAGAAATCATTGAGAGGGAGACTTTCAACATGTTCAAAGTTGCTGTTTTATTGTTTAGGTCTCTCACCCTTTCTCAACTGAACATAACCTGGAAACAGCTGGCTTTTGGAAACCTTAAATATGTGGTAAGGACCCACGTTTTCTTGGAAATCTATACGAGAAATATTATTTTTGTTAAGCCAGTCACACTTTGTCTTTTGTGGCAAAATCTACTTGGGAAAGATTCTACTGTATTTGTCTTGATTAACTTTGTTTTTATCTTATGTCGCTATAAAACAGGGTTTTGTCAGGAAAGCCCTGCTTCATAGTGAGTTCTCTCCCTGATTGGTGTGATGTCCCAATAATCATTAACAACCCCTTAAGAGGTTTTTTTTCTTACATCAGATGTTACCAGTCGTAAAACACGTCTGTATCAGTAGGTCAAAGCATTATAAAACTTGCACATCTTAAACTGACACATTCTCATTGCAGATGAGTTGAGAGGATCACTTTTTCCTTAAACCTTTCCCAAAAGCTGCTTCTAAGCAACATTTTTGCCAAACTTCAGCCAGAGCAAATCACTAACTTTAATTTAACTGTCCGTAGAACTTCGGAGACGTGGTCATTTGGACCAAACAGGTGCGCCGGATTGCACTTACCCAGAGTGAACTTTTCTGAGTTTTTTTTTGTTTGGTATCAGGAACTGATGGTCTAACGGGACAACCCCCCACATCCCTCTGCCACCATCACATTTGCCGCGTTCCTCCTGAGCAACGCGCCAAGATCGCGGGGTGGGGGGTTTATGCAAGACCACTATGCTGTTTTCTTTGTTTCTTTTTATACCTTAATTGCAATTATATTCACTACTATAATGCAGAGTGACACTAGGCCAGATTTACTTTGTTTCTTTTGTTGCAAATGATGATAATAAAACAATTTATTAAGCAGAAATAATCTTGGTCCAGATTGTTTTGCAGTTTCCACTTAAAGCAGCAGAAAGCATATTTTACAAACCAGCTCCAACAATACAAAAAGAAAACATAATATGGTCTGCACTCCAACAACAGAACAATTAACATTACAGGTCTGGAACATAATGCAAAGAACTGCACACAAACTGCAGAAGTTGAGCCGTGCAGCGCTGACAGAGATGGAGACTGACTGCAGAAAGTTCCTCTTGCATGTAGTGTTTACAGTGGTCTGTACAGCCCCTGGACCTCTACCCAGCTCCATCCTGACAACTGTGACCTCATTCATACTTCAGGCTTTGCCCTTGACTCGTCCCGTCCCTTCCCATCAATCTCACTGCAGCCTTCAACCATGTTCCGTCAGAAGACACAGTTCTGGCCAGTGGCTTTGTGCTGTTTGATTGTACTTTTACTTTATTATGTCTCCATTCCCCGCCCCCTCTCCCTAATCTACCCTTTCTTTCCATTTCCCCACAGATGAATTAGATTTCTGAAGTTAAGCCCCCTGCATGGATCTACGCCTCCGCCTGCTTGTACTCCACTAGCCCTCCGTTTTTACTGTTCCCAACTCCCAGAGGGAGGCTCCCACCATTGTTTCTGTTTCCCTCTGACACCTCAAAGCTCTTCTCCTCCAGCGGCTTGCCAATCCAGGCTCCGTAGCCGTGGATGCAGAGAGCTTCAAAGAACTGCTGCTTGGCAAGCTGGAAGGGTATGGCCGACGTCTTGGCCTGAGCGTAGGAGGGCAGAGAGAGGAGGTCTGTGCGGCCGCACCTCTGGCACAGAGAGCGAAACAGGCAGAACAGGTTGGACTTGGACACGCGGGACATGGCCTGTTTGTTCCTGAAGGGAGAAACATTTGAGGATTCTTTAGCTTTGTACTGATGAAAAACAAAACAAAAAAAAACAACAACAACAAAAAAAAAAAAAACAGACATGGTGGTTGTGGAAAACACAATTTTTTTTTTTTACAGAAACTACACAATGCTTTCTTACTAGGAGGACTGAAGCTAAGAAAGCCGTACAGGCAGATGACATAAATACCAAAGTAAATAAAAATGTCGCACTGTGCAACTGATTAAAAGGAGTTATTATTTTTAAATGTATGAATCCAGGGTACCTTCTAACAAACTATTGCTCTCTAATAATCATGTAAACAGGAAATGATGAATTTTTGGATGAACTTAAAAAAAAACAAAGTATTGGTTTGCATAAGCAACATTATGTATGAGAAATAAATAAAAATGCATTCCAGCAAAGAACTGCTGGATTCTAATCCCAATAATGTCACACGATGGTGATGGTATCATAATTTGTCTAATTTTTACTGTAAGTGGGCAATGTCGCACAAATATCCATAAAAATCTTAATAATACCAGTGACTTTTACGTGTAAATAAAGAGAACATGTTTGGGACAACAGTATAAGAACACATAATTATTTGTACCATAACAACTATTTAAAGTACAGCGGGGAGGAGCAATGATTATATTATTTCATAGATTATAGACAGTAATCTGTGTTAGCGTCTTATTAGTCATCCCACACTATTTAGTACAATCTTTAAATGAGGTTTGCAAAATCCTAAAACAGACTGGGAATGTAGGATCCCAACTCCACTCCTGAACGATTCTGTTTTCATGATGCTCTGATTGTAAGCTGTGAAACATTTCGCTTTTAGCCAAAGAAGAAAGAACAAGGGAGGCTACGGTACAGTGAAGCCTCAGGTGTGTACTGCAATCGGGAGAGGTAACCGTGTGACACATACCCGTCTAGCTTCCCTTTGGTCCCATCCAGCACCTCCACATTGTGCTGGTCTGGAAAGCTCCAGTTCACACTGGACTCCTTGGTCTTGCCTGTGTGCCTGGTGGAGTCATACACACTCACTCTTCCCACCTTTAATTCAACAGTGAGATAAAAGAGGTCTGGATGTAAATATTTAAAGCAAGTCAGGAATTTCTAATACAAATTCTTAGCCTATTTTGTCGGGATCCACTTCCTTCACTTCCAATAATGATATCTGAGGTTTGGTATCTCTGCTGATATGAGTCCAATACAGAAAAGTAGTGCAGAATTAACTTAATATGCTTCTTTTTTTCCAAAACACAGACATACTTGCTTTGAACTACAACTTTATTTGATAACTCCAAATCAGTATAGCTTAATAAAATACAATTATAGTGGAGTATGTTCATACTCCACTTTTCATTGGTAGTATAAATATGTAACAAAGAGGACCGTTCCTCTAAGCCACTGGCAGTCTGTAGGGAGAAAAAGGAGCTAAAGATCAGTTTGAGAATAGGTGCAACGTTACCAAGTCTCTGAAACAATTGAGACACAATCTAGATGCCAACTGGTTGACTGGGAGTCATAACAGAGAAAACGGTTTTCCATTATACCATCACAAACATAAGAGGAATGGTCAGAAATCCCTCAACGTGCATCTGCCAGCCTTATGAAATGTTACAGGAGAGGATGAAATTTTCTGCTATTGTCAAAAAGCAAAGTAAACTAACACAGAATTTTAAAAAATCCTTCAGAGTTGAACTTTAACTGACCTGAGACATATCCATTGTTTCCAGTTCAGTCTCATATTTGACATTCTGAATACACAGCGTGTTTTTCCTGACCTTTTTGAGAGGCAAGTCAAAATCTGTTTTCATTTCATTCTTAAATCCCATCAAGCTGCACTTCCTTTGGATTATCATATTCGTTTACAATATTTTATGTTTACAACAGAAAAAAATGCTCATAAAGCATTTAATCTTCTTTCTAAAGACTAAGTGTGCTTTATGAAGAGTCGTCTTTCTTTTGAGAAAGAAGTCTGAGTGTATAAATAGATTTTAATTTCTAAAAATGTAATTATATTTATTTTTCGTCACACTGGAAAGAGCACTCTACATATAATTCAGGCTTTAAAAGACAAAATCTTCTTCCCATCTTATTTTGTGGGATCCACAGAATAAAACTATTTTGTATAACTATTAACAGTGAACACTGATGAACAATGTTCATTCAAACATGTAAAAAAAAGAAATGTTTCAATGCATGTTTCCCTCAACTATTGAATAAATGCACTAAATAAATAAAAAAATATTTTTCTTTCTCTCTAGGATTATACCACACCAATAAAATATTCATTTATTTTGCTTTAAAATATTCAGGGGTGCCAATAAATGAGAGGTGATAGTTAATTGTTAATAGTGTTGCCCATTAGATCTTAATTGATATGTATGACAGGCTCAGCAAACAGAAGGATACAAGGATGAGTTTAACTGCCAGCTACTAGATTTTGGACTTTTTTCCTGGCAGCACAACAGGAATCCTTCTGCTTTTTGTTAATTGATGGATGAGTCCCATTTACATTCGACGAACAATAAAAAACAGCTGTGAAGGCACAAATAGGAGTGCTGGCAGCTTAATGAATTAATTTGGCGAGAATGACCTCCATGTTTCTGATTTATGTCTGTGTCTTGACTTTGAGAACAACTTGGATACTCACCTCAGGATGGTTCAGGGTGAAGGGAGGAGGGAGATTCTGAGAGAAGGCTTCGCTGTCCCTGGCCAGCCGGCAGCAGACCGCACGTGTCAGGTGACCATGGCTGTACAGATAGCCTGTCATGATCGAAGACATAAATCTGTCAGAGTGGGAGTAATCTGATTTACTGTTAAATCTTATGAGATGGTGACAATCGCTGTCCAGCAGCTTGATTTACCCAGGGTGATGGACTTTAAGTAGATAGGGTGCAAGAAATGAGAGAGCAGTGCCCCCTGCAGGCCCAGCACGTTCCAGCGCAGAATCTTATCACTGCAGCTCATGGTCCGCAGCCTTTCACCATGCTGGATGCCGTCCCAGGTGGGGACAATGGCACTCGACTCCACCGGGATGGTCCCCTCACCTGCAAAGAGCAAGAGAGAAGCTGTATCTCCTCCAAACAAACCAGAAGCAAGACTTCGATATGAATAAAATGTCATACAGTAGATATAAAAGGGCTATAGCTGCCTGTTAAAACAGCATGTTTTTGTGATGTAAAATATGAGACCTGGATACATTATTCCACCTTTAATTTTTTTTACAAATAACTTGTACAGCTGAAGTAGCCAAATACAAACTGAAATCGTCTAGGGGTAAAACAAAAAGCAAAAAGCTCAGCTTACGTGACAGCATACATTTAAACACTCCCCGTATTCAGAATTATCCAAAATAAACTTCAGCTGTTCTTGAAGGTTTTCCTGATATTTACTTTGTTGGTTCTCTGAGAAAATGCTGTGATCTAGAAAGAGCCTCTGTGAAAAACATGCAACTGTATCCCACAACAATATAGAAGACTTCTTTGAAACAAAAACAGCTGAACAAAGCTAAATTCTGCAGACATATGATCTGATGAAACAAAGATAAAACATTTTGGCCATGATTCTAAAAAAAAAAATGTGTGACACAAAAACCACACTGTTCATCTGAAAAATAGCACACAAGCACAAGTGAATCACGGTAGGGAAAGAATCGTGCTTCATGGCCAATTTTCTCGGAGCCTGCAGTAAAGGTGAAACGAATCATGAAAAGTTTCAAAAACGAACTGAAGGTGCAAACCTTCAGTATTGTGCTTGAAAGCTGAAAATAGACTTCATTCTTCATCAGAAAATCTAATTTAAAAAATGGCTACATCAGAATAACATTGAATATTTGGAACGGACCAGTCCAAGGTGGTCTTATTGCAAGTGAAACCTGTAGAGTAATGAATATTGCAAAACCCAGACATACCACACCAATAGAGGTCTACCCAAACAGGGAGCATTCAGGAATTATTTCTATTGGACTCATTTTAACACCACAAAAACCTGGTAAGTTAACTAGAGCAGACTTTTTCTGTCCACTGCAGCTTCCCACGTAGGCCGTTTGATTTTACATTTTTGTCTCACCATTCTCCACTTTAGTACGAAGCTTGCCCTGCTTTGCGTTCTCAAAAAGCGGCTTGTGGCCCTCGATTTCATCTCCTGCCTCACTACATGACTTGTCGAACAGCGCTCCGTCCCCACAAGGTGCCGTGCTGTGGAAGAAAGGACAGAAAAAACATAAATCAAAGTAAGAGGCATTCAGAATGAAACGCAAATGTGCCAGACTAAAAGGCTTTGGAAGACTTCCCAACCTGATGTAGAGGTGAAAGGTAATGTCAGGTTTGATCTTGAGTTTGTTCTCCTCTGCGGGCTCAAAAATGCTGTCGTCTGCTCCATCATAGTGCTTGAGCAGCTCGCTGTACAGAAACCTGAGAAGAAAGGAGATGGCGGGTTACATCTCAAAATAAAGTCACGCAGGCTGGTTCTGGGAGAGGAGAGCGTATTTTTAGAAATGAGGGAGAAACATCAATGAAGAAGCGTGGTATCAATTTCTACCGAATAAATCCTCTCCTGGAGATGATTTCAGCATGGCAGTCATTTACTGTTTCCCCTTTGAGGCTCAGCTCCTCTCCTTTGACACAACGATTTCCTGATAGACAAAAACAAAAAAACACGTATTCAGTGTCAACCAACACAACAACCAAACGCCTCTCAGTTCTTCTGTGACAGTTCTGCTTTATTTGTTACACTACATTTCTCTAAGCAAGAAGAAACATACAAAACAATGCAGGGGCAACACTTTGTTTACATCCAACCCAATGATTGTTATGGGTCAGGGATTTACCAGTTCCAAGGCTGACAACAGTTCCCAGTCCCTCCCCTCTTCTCATGACGATGGTGGCCAGAATCTTGCGTCCCAGAAGGCTGTGCTGGATGCGGGTGGTCAGGGCGTTGAAACGCTGGTGGCTCAACATGGCTATCTGGTCGTGCAAAGTGCTGCCACTTACTGGCAGCTGGAAGGACAGAAAGAAATTCAGCTATTTAAACTGCAGGTTTTTCTACATACATTTCATTTCTTGTGTATTGAAGACACGCATGCACACACACAGCCCATTAACCTACTTCAGACCAATTATTTTCAGGTTATTTACACATCTTTGCTTCTCCTGTGCATATACCTGTGAATGCGATTCATACAGTTAGTGCAAACAAAGAGAATGAGATCAGGTAGGCTTAAAAAAAGTAGATGCAGCCTTTACTTGAATGGGCCAGATCAGAACATCTATTTACAGTATGTCAACAGGCCTTACATCACTTTGGTAACCTGCTGGAGGTAAAGGTCTGCCGTTTGGTTACTTCTAGTGGTTCCACGTGAAGATGTAACCGCATTCATATGGTACAGTTGTCCAATTAACAGTGATTTATTTTTGCAGATTGTGTGATTTCTGAATGTAACTAAGCAGCACATTATTCATCATTAATGAAGGAAAACAAGATTGATCCTCGCCAAACTTAAAGAGTCACAGTCGTGTTGAGCTACCCATTCTCCAGTGATGACTAATCCTTGGCATCCTTTTGTTATCTGTGTTGTTGGTATGTGCACTAGCACATACGACGAAGAAATAACTGCAGAACCAGATTTGAAATAAGCATTCTGAGTCATCAAAACTATTAGTCTCAACTTGCACGTTCAACCCTAATTAAGCTATCGTGTTTGTTTCTGAAATAACACTGGTGAAAGTCCCTGATGGTGTTCTCAGGGCCTCAGAGATAATGGACGTGTCTGAACTTGTCCTGTTGGATCATCTCAGCACTGCTTTTCATAAAATCAGTCAAAGCATTCAGCTTCAAAGGCTCAAACATGTAGCTGTATCATGGGTGGGAGTGTATTGCCTGGGAGATTCCCGTGTGTTTACAATAACAAGCTTCAGTGTACAGTGAACCCTCGCTATAACGTGGTTCACATTTCACTGCTTCGCCGATTTTTTTGTGCAGCTTTTTTTCACAGTGCATTTTGTTCTGATTGGCTGAACAGTCTCTGTGCTTCTGACGTGCCAATAACATTACTGTATTTAAATATCCATAATACAGCTTGGCAAATTTTGGCTAATATTTTTGCCTGGAAGAAGAAAGAGCAACAACTACCGATAACATGTTCTTATCTCGAAAAAAACACACCTGCACCACAGGCTTCAGAAGAAAAAAACACTGCAGAGCGGAGTCAGGCCGCAGCGTCACAGTCAGAGGTTCAGTGAAATACGCAAGTCACAATTTGTCCTACTTTGTTTTGTATTGATGATTAATGTTATTACTTTACTGTAGTTATTTGTTAGAAAGCTTTACATTTGTAAAAAAAAATGCTTGGGCCTAAAAAGAGGTTTTGTTCTTTGGTTTCAATGTAGAGTATTTAATTATGCTGTATAATACTTGTAAAAAAATAAAGGTAACTACTTTGCGGATTTCGCCTGTTTTAGGTTCTTTTTGGAATGCAACTACTCAGGAAAACGAGGGTTCACTGTAAACCTCTGGAGTAGCACACGGTCCAGTGTTTGGGTCAATTCTCTTTAAATATGCAAAATTATCAAGCCTGTATAAAGTTTAAACTCATCCACATTTATCCATTAAGTGTACTTTTATATCAGATGACAACACTGCACATTTTCATTCTCATAATAACTTCCAAGTTAGACAATTATAAACTATCCATTCAAGAATAAATTAAAAGTTTATCAAGTTTTTCCTCACCCAGGTATTGCGGGTTAATATATTTAATTTTGAAAGAAAGAAATCAAGTTCTGCACAACTTGTTTTTGTTTCTACAATCCAATAAATGATGCTTTAATCCCATGTTGACTCAATAGCAACTCCTACGAAGCTGAAGAATAATTTTTACTTTTGGGTTAAATAATTTATGTGTCTTAATTGTAGATACCTCAGTAGGGATAAGCTCTCCAGTGCGTGCTGCCCTCTCAGCTTCTCCAATCAAAACCCGCAGTGCCGCATCTGCTGCTTCCTGCTTTCCCTGTTTCTTGTTGGAGGCACAAACTGGAGGAAACCATCGGCCGCCCAGCTTCGCCTGATAGGTAAACCTGAGCAGGGAGTAGAGGCAATAAGGAGAATATTTCAAAGTCCTATAAAGAAATACTTATACCTAAACCGAGATCTAGCAAACAAAAAAAAAAAAAAAAACCTTCATTCTCTGATTGAATGGTTTTTAAAGCTTTTAAAAATTGAAAACAAAAAAGTTTGCTCTTACTTAGGATCATGTGGGGGTCCAGACTGGCTCACCAGGCGGATCTCAGCAGCAAAGCCCCGAGCTCGGGCATATTCCAACAGACCTGACACGGCGTTGTTGTTCAGGTGATTGATGAGGTCTCCGACCCCTGCCTCATGGGCAGCTTGCAACTCACTCGCTGTTAGAGGAGGCAAAGAAGGACAGGTCGCTCTGAAAGCACCTCCATCTCCTTCAAAGGACGGGCCAAGGGGCAACTGAGGCTGGAAGAAACCAGAGAGATATGAGGGGCGAGGCAGAGATGTGAAAGAGTCAGCTAGGGGAACAGATTTCATCATATCCTTAATAAATATAGTTTATCACAGTGTTTGGTGCCTTATAAAGCAACTATACCAGTTTTTTATTGTAGCATCTAGAAATTTTAGTGTATTTGACTGTGATTTTATGCAACAGACTCAGAGGAAGCAGTACATAAATGCGAAGTGGAAGGAAATGACACATGAATTTAAAGATCTAAGAAGTGTGGTGTGCATTTATTTTAAGTATATAATGTAGAAGCCACTACTTGTGCCTCCAGGCATTTTAGAGGCAGAGGGAGTAGCAAACAAGAGTCTCTACCCAAACTCCTGTTTGCATAGAGACATATGCATACCTCATATATCTCTATGGGGTATGCATATCTGCAGAATTAAGTTTTGTATCATTATTTCTTTTAAATACCATATGGAAAGTGTCCTATGAAAGATTCTCAGCTTTCCAAAGCAGCTCTGGTTGAATGTTTAGAGATGTTGTCCTGCACAAAGGTGAACTTCAAAACCAGTTTATGGCAACATGTAACTGGTTTTCAAAGGGAATGACGAGATTTATTTTTCCACCACATTTTTTTTTTTTTTACATTTGGCATGAGGCGAAATGTAAACATGAATTTCCAATTGATTTCCTCTTATTACTTCTATAACTCTTCTTGGGTGCTTCTACAAAAGTGCCCCTGTCGGTTTGCAGTTGTTTAATTCCCTTTTTTTATTTTTTGGGGACATACAAAACTTGGAAACTGTTTCATAAACTCACCCTGATTTTAACTTTTCTACAGCTTTATGAGAATAATAATAATAATATGAGCTCCTTAACGTTCTGTATTTGTTACCTTGCTGACTTGCAGTTTTCCGTCAGCCATTAACTCTTTAACTGCCTCCTCTGCTGCCAGCTGACGTGCTGCCTTCTTACTTGGAGCTGAGGCCTCAGCAAACGTCATGTCTCCAACTTTCACTCTGAACATGAACCTGGAAATAGTGCAGAAAGGGTTAAAATGGGGTAATCAAGAACATACAAAACTGTTGTTTGCATCAAAGACTTAAACAAGTGAGTTAGACTCATGGTACCTTTATAGCTTATGATACCTTAGTTTTGTTTTGGGGTTTTTTTTAGAAAGAAAAGGCAGCAAAGAGAGAATGAAATGTGTCATTAAGCTTAAAGGGATGGATTGAACAGAAAAGACAAGATAGATAAAGATGGCATTGTCTTCATCAGATGACTAACGTATTCAGAACAGATTTAACACATAGCTGCTTTTATGAGGCTGAAATGTGTGACTGCAAAAGAAGTTAACCTCCGGACTCGGCAGGAAGATCTACTCCAAATAGAAATGAAGGAGCCAGAACCTTGGGTCATGTGGTGGGCCTGCCTGCCCAGTGTTGATGAATTCGATGGAGTTTCCACTGCGCTGGCTGTACTCCATTAGGACAGACACTGGATTCTTCCCACCAGGCAGAGACCGGGATAGCGGCTGTCGAGGTCCTTCCCCTGGTACTTCGACACTGTTCGACCCGAAGGTTCCCGACATATTTTCAACAGAACCCTGGTGAAGAGACAGGGAAAAAGAACTTCAGACACAACATTTTAAGGACAGCTTTGAAAATATTTAGTGTCCAGAACCCATAGATTTATATACAAGAAATTATTTTAACAAAGTCAAAAATATCTCACGCTTGTTTCTGGAAGTATATCCAACATTTGGTCAACACCGGCAGCATTTCCCTCCTCCAGCGGACCTGGTCCTCCCTGACTCTCTCCGATAAGGATGCGCAGCGCGGCGGCTGCAGCATCCTTCTTAGCGACCTTCTTACTGGAAGCTTCTGCAATGGGAAACAGCTTCCCATTCAACATCACCTGCATGCGAAATCTAACCAGAGCAGAAAACAGAAAATCACAAACACGTTAGACACTCAACCTATCGACATGCAGCGTTACAACCCATACAGCATTTAAATGCTTTTCCAGACTGAAATGTTAATATGTTTTCCAAGATGTTTTCTCAAACTTATGAGATCAAAATGATCACCTTAATCTGCTTACAGAGTAGTCTTATCTATAGCTTCCATAGATCCAAAAACAAGTTGCTGATGTTGGCTTCTGGATTTTTAAACATGGTATAAAATCATTTCACAGTTCTGTTTGTTTGTGGAGTAACTTAAACAAGCTTTGTTTCAAAATCACAACTCTTTTATCTACCGAAATGGACTGGGATATCATGATAGAGGCTAGTTTAAAAGTGCACAATTTTTCTGACCGAAAAGTATAATCGTTTTTCTTTATTTTTCACTCAAAACATGAAGAAAAGGGTTTTTCGTGCAAAAACCCTGAATATATGATTAACTGGCTGCTATGATGAATAACAGTTGAGTTATTTTCATTCTTGGCTGCACTTCTTGGAGGCAGGCTTTCTCTCCAAAGATTTTAAGAGCTACTTCAAAGCAATAAAATAAACATAGGTGCAAACACAAAACTAAAATGATGGATCTCACATTGCTCCTGGCGATAACGAGCATCAATCCAGACTTTATTTTTCCAACTCTACCTCAGGCATATCCAATTAACAAATTATTCTTGTGGAAGGCAATGTGATGACTTAAAAGGTCGACTGACTGACCTTGGGTCATGAGAGGGTCCTGACTGGTCGAGGAGCTGGAACTCGCAGTTTTGGCCCAAATACTGGGCATACTCCATGAGGCCACTGACGGGGTTCTTCAGCCTCACTTCCTGTAATTTGGCCCACAGATTTGGAGGAGGTGGTGCAGCCACCGACACAGCGACGGTTCCCACAGCTCCGCCCTGCTGGTCTGCCATTTTCTTTGCATCGGTTTCTCGCCGGATTGCGTTGAGGTACTCTGGGATTTCATCAGAGGCCCACAGTTGCTCACCAGGAGCTTTGTCCTCACTCAACAATACAGGTAGCTATTGAAATGAGGAACGGAGGGTTAGGTTTTAGTTCAGAAATTTTGTAAAAAAGAACTAAAATCTATTACTAGGCAAAATTAAACAGCTATGACATAATTTGAAACTTGTGTTAAAAGGGAGAGGCAATGTTTTGCTTTGGCCTCTGACTAATTTTCCACAGGATCAACTTATCAACATTTGTTTCAAATGAAAACTCCACAAGAGACCTTAACCTTTCAACAGAACCTCATAATAGAAAGTCTGGAATATTCCTTGAAAGCAAAAACATAATATTAAAAACGATAAATCTTGTAGTACCTCAGTACTTTGACTTTGCTCTGGCAGCAAATCTTCCAGCAGTGGTAAAGGCTCAAGTCCTGGTATAGGAGGTAAGGTCGATAGGAAATCGGCACTTGCAGTATCCTCCTCTTGACAGATTTCCATTCCCATATGACTCCCAAAAACGGAGGCACTCTTTGCAATTTTTAAGCTCCTTTCCATCCTCTCTTTCCGGTGTGCAGAAAGCATCCATTTTGGAGGAGTAACGTCACTATCCCTTTTGACTTCACCTTGCTTCTCCAAAGCATAGAGGGTGGGGTTGATCTGCTTGGCAGTTTTAAGTCCCAGATTTTTGGCTATGACAAGAGCAGTTGCCTCTCCTACATCCAGAAGAAATTGTAAAATCTGCTCTTTACAGTTTGCCATGACGGGACAATTAGCCTCCTGATGGATGGAGCTGGTTGTGTTTGGACGATCTTTTTCGTTCTGACTTTCTGCTGCTGACTGGGCTTTTTCACAGTCAGAAGTCTCTGAAGATGAGCTGTAAGAAGAATTTGATTCTGTATCAGAGTTCTCTTCTTTGACCTGCCCCTTGTTTTCCTTTTCCGGGTCAACCTCTGTTTCAGCTGTTTGTGGATGTTCTGGACCAAAACACAGATAGGAAGCTGGACTTTTGCTGTCAGAGACGTAATCTCCTTCCGCCCTGTACAAACTCCACAGTGGAGGTAGGACTTCTTGCTTATAAGCTCTTTGTGACCGCTCCAAAGAGTAGAGAGCCTTGTTTACTGTCTTTTTGGGTAAATGAATTTTTTTAGCTAATACTTTAGCAGAGATCCTCTCACCTGACTTCAAACCAGCCAAAGTTCTGTGCACCTGCTCCTGTATGTCTGGCGTAAAGGTGATGTGAACTCTTTCTAACCTCGACTCTATTGAGCTGCTGGGGACCTGGTATCTGTCAAACCTCTCTCTACCTCGGCTAGACTGAGCTTGTTGAAAAGACAGATTCTGAAAACGGTCACAGAGAGACTCTCTCTGGGGCCAACATTGTCTGTTGGATGACTGATTACAATTGGTTTTGCCTTGAAACTGGTTTTGAGTTTGTAATCGAGGGCCCAGGGCCCCTCCAGTTGCTCTTGGACCTGAAGAGTATCGAAAAATCTGGTTAGGGCCGTAGCCCCCTCGACCTCTAGGACTGCTGCCTGGGTTTGAATATCTAATATAGCCTGATGGTGACTGGCATGTAGAACTAGATGACCTGTTGAATGGTGCGCCGCCGCCTCGTTGGCTGGATCTGAACTGCGGCGCCTCGGTGCTCTGCCCTCTGAGAAATTCTGCTTGTTTACAAAGGAAGGAATTTGGAGCTGGGCTGCTGCCCTGACTTTGGTTATGTTTGTAGTCAGAACCAGCAACCAATCTAGAGTGGCTTGGTATAAAGGGAGCTGATGGGAGCAGAGGAGGTGGCGGCTGAAGGGCCCCTCCAGGATAGTTGTAGTAATTTTGGTTTTGGATCAGGTCTGGGTTGTCTCCATGAAAAAATTGGGTCTGAACTGATCTGTGGTAGTTCTCCTTGGCCTGTGGGTGGGAAGGTGGGCGTCTGTTGAAATGTTCTTTGTAAGGCCCTCCTCTACCTCTGCTCATAGCGCAGGGGTTGAGCTAAAAAGGGAGGCCGGGGCAGTTCTCTGTTCAGCTTAAGGATCACGCCAAGCACTTAGATTCCAACAGAAAGACAGAAGATGGAGCCTTGGCTCAGGATGGTGACACTGTGGAAGTGACAAACAAAGTCAAAAGAGACATAATAAGTAGACAGGTTAAAAGAAACAGTCACATCAGTGAACAACCTTTCAGCCTGCTTAAGTGTCCTTGGACAAGTTGGACAACCTATACTCCAAGGACACCACTGCTGTCCTGAAATGCAGCACACAACAGAGTGGATAATCTGAGAAGGTTTAAACATAGACAGTCGAAAAGTGTATGCAGAGATTAATCTGTGCTGCATTTATTTTCATATTATAACACACTAAGTCAATAAAGAGACCGCAGAGGGATATGTCATCGTTCTGTGTCATGCTGAAACGTAATCCCGAGGTAAAAGTGAATGGTCTAATCATTCAAAACTGCCTGGAGCAGTTCTTTATTATTTCTAGTATTATAAACTAATGCTGTGGCTTGAAATCTCTCTAATGGAGAGTCAAAGAAACATAACCGATAATCCAGCAACTTCTCAATTTCTGTACAGACATTTCATTTCTCTGCCTCGAAACAAACACCGGGGATTATGATCTGAATTTCAAATTACATGGTTTGGATTTTTATAAATATAGATTCTGGGTCCAGTGTCATACCCAACAACACTCAATGATGTCTGCATCAGCCAGCGACAACAAGAGGACACCCAATACTGAGTCAGGTTTCATCGCTTGTGGTGTGGTCAGCACCGAGCCGAGCAGGCCCATAATAATGGAGCACAATGCAGTATTGGTTCATCAGAGTAACAAGCAGCGACAAGGGGTGGGGGGGCAGCAGCCTGGAAGCCAAACATGGGCTGGAGCTGACTCACTTTGATCCTGATGCAAGGCAACATGTGACAGCCAAAAATACAACTATGTATTTTTCAGACAGAACATGTCTCTATGCTTACAGCCAGGCCAAATTTGTGAACAAAGCGTGCTGAATAAACATCTGCATACTCTGTGCAGCATGGTTGTAGAAGCAGAGCAGTCTATGACCAAGGCCTCCCGCTACTAGTACATGTGATTATGAGTCTCACCTTCAGACGATCAGAGGAAGAAGGTTAAAAAGACAGTTTGGCCACGTGGAGGCTTGCTGATTTAGAAGTCTTCCAATGCGCAAGTTATTTCAATTTTTTGACAAAAAAAATAATAATAATAATAATTACAATACTAAGGTTACAGATAAGGAAAAATAAGCGCAGAACAATCAAATCTCGCCTCTGGACAGCTTAAGAAGAGAGAAACACGCTGGATCATCTCAGTTAGATCAGTAAAGTCCGCAGCCTCCCAAAGCCTTATAAAAACTGCATGGATGACGGTAATGTTGCACCATGCGCTCCTGAGCTGCGACACACAGAACATGAGGAGCAATTGGAAAAAGAAAGAAAGAGGGGCCAACGTGGGAGAAAGTTAAGTTTCGTTTTCTTTTCTTGGTTAAAGTTAGGTTTCTATTGCGGGTCATGTGACTACGCCGGTTTTCCCCCCTACGGATATAAACACTGGAGGGTTTCAAATAAAATTAAGCAAGGGAAAAAAGATCGGCTCTGATCATCAGGAAGCGTATTCTAAATTGCATGTCTCACATTCCGACTTTCATGCCAAGGCGTTTCGCTCCACCCGGCTCTTTTGATGTCCCGAAAGGTCGTGCGGAAAACAACAGAACTTCAACTCCAAGCGCACATCGGAACTCGCTCCTTTTATTGTGAAAATCCAGGTTTTGGTTCGGTCCGGAGAGGTCAGTGACACAGAAAGCTCCGGCTCCATTTCTAACTGCACATCTAATTGTATTACACGTTTTATATCATTACAATAAAATGTGTATTATCTGCTTATTTATCCTTGTAGATGGATTTTGTCGTGAGGTTTTACACTTTAAAAAATGAACGCATCACATCTCTGTTTATTTCGGTTCTGATCCATGTTTGGATCGATCATGTTTGGAGCAGCTGGCCTGATCAAACTTGTCTGTCCATTTGTGAACAAATCATTTCTTGTCTATGTATCTAAACCACTGCATGTCAGGTTAGCTTATGTTGTAGAGAAGTACATATGTATTCAAGTTAGTTGTCAAATACCTGCATGTAACATTTAATTCATGTTAAATTCAAAAACCTTCTCTTTCTTTCCTGGTTCAGTGACATGAAACATGACTGATTGTGACTCCTGATCAAACCAACCAAAAGCTCTGAGCAACAAACTGATGATAGACATTATTAACCAAATTTATTTGCAATCAATCATGAGTAAAAAATAAAACAAAACAACAAAACCCCCCAGAAATATAATCCTCGGCTGTCAAAACCCCCTATATGAATAGACAGTTGGTCTGCAGATATTGTATCACCAAACTATGAGATGATCAAAATAGAAAAGAGTTTAAATGACTGGCACATGCCATGAAAACACTAAATAAAAGTGAGATATCCAGGTATCAGGAATTGTCCAAAGCTGAGACAGATTATGGTGTCTTAAGATATTAGAGGAAGCAGAAATGCAATTCAGATTGCTTTATTTATAATAAAAAATCTGGAGATGTAGTCAAAGACGTTTCAGCTTGTAGCCTACTAAAGCTAACAAGCCAAAGTAAGTTCTGACTGCAAATAAACTGCTTTCTTATTGCTTCAAGAGGTTCTGGAGTCTTTACCTAAACCAGTGTTTCTTAATTTCAGGCCTCAGGAACCACTGCCCTTCATTTTTAAGACATGTCTCTGCTCCAGAGCAACTTATTCAAATGATTGCATAACCTTGTCTGCATGTCATCAAAAGCTGCACAAGTCTATTAATGAAGTACTTATTCAAGTCAGATGTGACTGACTTGAATAAGAGAAACACATAGAACGCAGGGCAGCAAGGCCTAAAAACGATTTTTAATAGATGACTGAGCTCACACACTCTGGACACAGATCAAGCAACGTGGGTGTGTCAAAGACAGTCTTTACACTTAAATACCTTTAAAGCAGGTGCTAGGTTGTTTTAGTCTTGAGCATTTATGACTGTAATTATCAAGAAACATAATTCATTGGGATATTGCACACCAACTTAACTACAATGAATTGAAATGCAATGGTTTTGAACTAAATTGTTAGTTTTAGAATAAGTAAACAAAAGAAGAGAATGCGGGATCATTTACCTGGGAACGATGTAACTTGGTGTAAATAAACACAAATAACTTTTTGCACATGGAACCTGTAAAATATCTGTATAAACTAACTTACAATGGACTTGAGCCGATTTACTAGCTGCTGACAATTTGATCCAAATGCACTGAGAGAGTATTCATGTTGACTTTATTCATGTTGACTTTATTTGTAGTTTGCATGACTTTAAAAATGAATCAAATTTAAACCTGAAATAAAAAAAGAAAAACTAACAATATACACATTATATAACACTAATATTCCCTTTGATGTTTTCGTGTTGTACTAGACGCTTTGAAGCACTAAGTGTGCATAAAGTTTTCAGTTTAATACTTGAAGGTCACACGCACCGACGTTTAAAACTACTGCGACACAATGAACTGTCTGAATAAGAAAGATTAATAGGTTTTAAATCATGGCAAAAGCTCGCAGCTGCTAAATGAACATCGGTCCTTCTCAAAGCTAACGCTAGCCATCCTGCTAGCTCCAAATTCTGCACCATTTCCGTCCCACCGCCTGCTGCCTGTTCTCTCTAAAATGTTTGGAAACCCCCCAAAGAACGAACTACTTCTCAACAAGTCATTTGCAAACACAAACCAGCTTTAAACAATTACCTGAGCTCGCCTCACTCTTCCCACTGCGGCTTGTTGTTTCTGTGAACTCCGTGACAAAAACAATCCAACAAGCGATGCGCGGAGATGCGATGCTCTGCTTTGCAACTGGAGCGAACGGTAACACCGTCGCATGTGAGTGACGTAACTGTGCGGAGCAAGGTTCCAATAATTTTCTGATGCGTCCTCAGCAGGCATCTGATTCTCTCGTGATGCTCCGAGGAATATTAGAAGAATGTGTAGAAATAATAATAATAATAATAATAATAATAATAATAATAATTAATAATAATAATAATAATGATGATAAATCTGCCTTAAGATTGATTGTTTGAGCTGTCTTAAATTTAAACTTGCAGGAAGCACTCTTTGTAAAAAAAAAAAAAAAAAAAAAAAAATATATTATATATATATAAAAAAAAAATTCCCTTCTCACCCACCGCAGGTGGTTCTTATCCTCTGAGCTCGGGTCCTCTACCAGAGGCCTGGGAGCTTGAGGGTTCTGCGCAGTATCTTGGCTGTGCCAAGGACTGCACATTTCTGGACTGAGATGTCTGATGTTGTTCCTGGGATCTGTTGTAGCCACTGCTCCAGTTTGGGGGTTACTGCCCCGAGGGCCCCGATGACCACAGGTACCACTGTGGTCTTCACCTTCCAGGCTCTCTCCAGTTCTTCCCTGAGGCCCTGGTATTTCTCCAGTTTCTCGTGCTCCTTTTTCCTGATGTTGCAATCACTTGGTATTGCTACATCTACCACAACGGCTTTCCTCTGATGTTTTCCACTACGACAATGTCTGGTTGGTTCGCCATTACCATTTTGTCTGTCTGGATCTGGAAGTCCCACAGGATCTTAGCTCTGGCGTTCTCCACCACCTTTGGGGGGTTTTCCCACTTTGATCTCGGGGTTTCCAGTCCATATTCTGCACAGATGTTTCTGTACACTATGCCTGCCACTTGGTTATGTCGCTCCATGTACGCTTTCCCTGCCAGTATCTTGCACCCTGCTGTGATGTGCTGGACTGTCTCAGGGCCTCCTTGCACAACCTACACCTTGGTCTTGTCTGGTGTGGTAGATCTGGGCCTCTATTGCTCTTGTGTTTAGGGCCTGTTCCTGGCGGCCAGGATGAGGGCCTCTGTGCTGTCCTTGAGTCCAGCTTTTTCCAGCCATTGGTAGGATTTACTGATATCAGCCACTTGGGTTATTTGCTGGTGGTACATCCCATGTAGGGGCTTGTCCTCCCATGATGTATCTCTGGCACCTCAAACTCCGTTCCCTGTTGTCTGAGACATTCACTGAGCACATTGTCTGTTGAGGCTTTGTCCCTGATGTATTTATGGATCTTAGTTGTTTCGTCCTGGACAGTGGTTTCTCACACTCACTAGTCCTCGCCTCCTTCCTTGCGGCTCGTGTACAGTCTCAGGGTGCTGGATTGGGATGGAACCCTCCATGCATTGTTAGTAGCTTTCTGGTCTTAATATCTGTGGCTTTTATCTCCTCCTTTGGCCAGCTAATTATCCAGCAGGGTATCTGATTACTGGCAAGGCATAGCTGTTTATCGCACGGATTTTGTTTCTTGCCATTGAGCTGGCTTCTCAGGACTTGCCTTATTCGTTGGAGGTATTTAGCTGTGGCTCCTTTCCTTGTGACCTCATCGAGGTTGCCATTTGCTTGTGGTATACCTAGGTACTTGTAACTGTCCTCTATGTCTGCTATTGTTCCTTCTGGGAGTGAGACCCCTTCTGTGTGGATGACCTTCCCCCTCTTTGTGACCAGCCGACCACATTTCTCTAGTCCGAATGACATCCCAATGTCAGTGCTGTAGATCCTGGTGGTGTGGATCAGTGAGTCGATGTCTCGCTCACACTTGGCGTACAGCTTGATGTCATCCATGTAGAGTAGGTGACTGATATTGGCCCCATTTTTGAGTCTGTATCCGTAGCAGTCTTGTTGATAACTTGGCTGAGGGGTTCAGGCCTATGCAGAACAGTAGCGGGACAGAGCATCTCCTTGGTATATGCCACATTTGATGGACACTTGTGCAAGTGGTTTGCAGTTGGCTTCAAGGGTGGTTTTCCACAGCCTCATCGAGTTTGCAATGAAGGCTCTCAGTCCTGTTGATGTTATACATCTAAGCATTCAATGATCCAAGTATGCGGCATTGAGTCATAGGCTTTCTTGTAATCAATCCAAGCCATGCACAGGTTGGTGTGTCGGGTTTTGCAGTCTCGGGCAACTGTGCGGTCTACGAGGAGTTGGTGTTTGGCTCCTCTGCTATTTACACCGATACCCTTCTGTGCCGTGCTCATGTGTTTATCCATGTGTTTGCTTATCTTGGCCGCTATGATGCCTGACATGAGCTTCCAGGTTGTGAGAGGCAGGTTATTGGTCGGTAGTTGGGTGGGACTGGACCCTTTGATGGATCCTTCTGGATTAGGATTGTCCGCCCTTCAGTTAACCATTCAGGGTGAGTCCCACTTTGTAGCAGCTGGTTCATTTGGGCTGCCATTCGCTCATGGAGCAGTGAGTTTCTTTAGCCAGTAGGCATGGATCATGTCAGGCCCTGGTGCTGTCCAGTTTTTCATACCTGAGACTCTTTCTTGAACATCTGTCACAGTGATGGTTACCGGGCTTGCTCAGGGAGGTTGCTGTGGTCCTCTCGTAGAGAGATCAGCCACTGTGCATTGCTGTTGTGGGACGCCTCCTTTCCCATATGCCTTTCCAGTATTGTTCCGTCTCCAGCCTGGTGGTCTGCTCTGTTGTTATGTTACCCTGCCATTGAGAGACACCTTAGCTGGTTGAGTGGAGAAGAGCCGGTTAATCCTTCTGGATTCATTCTCCCTTGTGTATCTCTTTAGGCGGCTGGACAAGGCTTGGAGCCTCTGTTTGGCAGTCTCGAGTGCTTCAGGTATGGGCATCTGCCTGTACTTTCTGGGTACTGGTCTTTTCATTGCACCCTTGTGGAGCTCTGACAGTTGGCTCACTTCCCTCCTTGTTACCTTGATTTTAGCCTCTAACCGTCTTTTCCATGGTGGGTATCGGGTCTCATGGTTGCTCTTATAGCCAAGTATCTCAAGGATCACTGATGCTGAGTTGTAGATCAGCTCATTGGTTTCTGTTATGGTGTTGGTAGGGATCGTTCTCAATGCTGCATTCACATTCTCAATGAGACTTTCTGATGGTACTTCACTCAGCCGTTGTAATTGGCGCCGGGGAGGCCTGGTTGTCATTCGGGTCATGATTCTCTCTCTCAGGTCAGCAGCTGTCTCGTTCAGCTCTGTTTCGCTCATTGGGGCCGTGTATCCCCTCACTGGGTGGGGACTTGTAGTTTAAGTCCCCACAGTCCTGACATCCGGGTTCCTCCCTTTTGCCGTAGCATTTGTGTTGTATCTCGTCAATCTCAAGTTGTGATAGCAGTTGCCGTTTGCGGATGTTGGAAACACTGACTACTAGTTGTTTGCGCTTAGTGTTGACTGGGGATGTCGAAGTAACCATTCCTTCCCCAGTCTTTGCATGTAACCCCTCTGACTAGGTTACTTGAGTAGTAGCATTCCAACAGATCCACATTTTCATCTCTCGCCATTTCCGTCTTGTTCCAGTAGCCCATTTGTCATCAAGGTGCTCTGGTTCCCCAACACCTGACGCAGACCTTGTTTGGCCGGGCGACGTCTGAGCGGCATGTTATGCAACTTAGTATCTCTCATGGTATGAGGTAGGCAGTAGCTTGAAGGGTCTTGCCTAAGGACCCAGACTGGATTCGAACCCTGCCCTCTCGGGTGATATACTGATGCCTTATGTATTGAGCTATCCAGTCAGCTGTATATATATATATATATAATATATATATATATATATAATATATATATATTATATATATATATATATATATTATATATATATATATATATATATATATATATATATGTATATATATATATATATGTATATATATATATATATATATATATATATATATATAACTTGAACCACTAAATGCTTCGGGAGTAAAAGTGAGAGTGCCATAGATAAAATTCTTTGGAATTACATATGAATTGATAACATCAACCACAATGCTTAATATTTACATGCACACATAAAACATGCAGTGAATCCTTTTGTTTGTTATAATGCAACATCCAAAGTGAAAAGCCACAGACACAACAGGGACATATTTTGTATGCAGCAAAAGAAGTCTGTTGTCCGAGTGAGAAGACTGCTTTTGATGGTTTATTAATCCACTGAGGTAACCCAGAATAACAATACGTTCTCACTTTTTTCTGGTACTGCTGCTCCGGGTTGAATTTAAGCGCAGCCTGGTGTATGCCTGTACTTCACCTGCTTTCGTACTTTTTAAATGTTGAATTATATATTTTTATAATAGATACATACAAAATCAGCATAGAAAGTGTATTCATACTTTTGAAAACCATCTTTTTCACATATTAATATCAGTGTGAAATTTATACTGATTTCTGCATTCCAATAAAATAATTGACCAGTTCAAGAGACATGTACTAACACAATCTATAAGAAGTGGAAAAAAATGAGAGAAAATTATGTTTTTATCAAACTTACATCATTACTGCCAAATACAACATGAATATTACAATTATTTGAAGTACTGTCAGTTACTTAGAAATCCTTACAACAACATACATCTGTCTAATTTCCTGATGGACCCCAACCTTCTCCAAAATCCAGAGAGAGATAGATTTTGTGGAGGCACATTTGGGGAACTGTCATGAGGGGTTCGTTTTTTTTAGCTTGACGCAGGCAATCTTAACTTTTGTTTAAAAGCTCCTTTCATGGATTATGCATTGCAATTAAAAATTGTAGGTGCGTCATGAAATTTAAAGTGCTATTGTTGATCAGTCAGAGCATTTACAGAGAAGATCAAAGATTCCGTGGAAAAGATGAACTTCAAATATTTTAGACTGCACTTACCGCCTTGTCCAGTTGGGGTCAGTGTTGTTTTCTGAATGTAGTAATGTCAATTTACTCTTTTTCAAAAATGATTTTAATTACCACTCACTACTTGCAGTTATTGATTCCTGCAGTAAATTTAAAGCAATGGAACAAACTCAAAATACCATATATCTAAATGTATTTAAGAAGCCTTTAAGTGAAAACAGAAATTCATTATCTGATGGCAAATAAACTGATCTGGATGGTTACTTTAAAAAGTTAAGCAGTCTAGGAGATAGTCAACAAAGAGCTTCAAGATTGAGGATTGCTGCAGATACAGTAACTGCCATGAAGTCTGCAGAAATGAAAGCTCATAGAAGCACAAAGGACGAGTTTGACCACAGGCTAAGGTTTGCCCATCTTTGAATCTGATCGACTCCCACACAGCATCTCCCTCTTTACTGGAGTGTTCATTTCACTGCATGTCTCACCCACTCTGTGTCTGCTGCTCCCTCTTCCTTTTCTCCTCATTTTTTCTTCCTCTGCCACTGCTGACAGTACTACTAATCTCTGCCTATTTTCAGCGGGCTTTCTTTCCCTCACAGATGCCCGTTTTTACACGAGTTTACCATTTATTTCCCTCCATCTCTATTTCTCCTCTGCAAGTCTTTCTGCGCTCACATTGAGGAATGCAGCATGAGGCAAGCGGTGGCTTTTTGGCTGTTGATACTTGCGACTCTGCTCCGAGGTGAGTGACTTCGACGGGTGCTTTTGAGCGGGACTGTGCTTGAACAAGAGTGAGTGGGGCTTTTGAATGTAAATTTTGTATGTTTCTGTATTTGCACGTGAAAAAGTGTATTCTCTGTAAGTTACAAACAAAGCGGGTCTTTATGTGCAGAAAAGAAAATTAATTTCCTTTTATGATGAACCAGCTACACTATCAGATGTTATCATCTCCACTGCAGTTTATAAGATAACACCCTGAGTTATATATATATATATATTCTTTAAAATCGGTGGATATAAATGCTGTTAACAGTTCATATGCTGTGTAAATATATTTTATATTGATTTACCATTATCTTAAAATATTGTTGTAGGTACAACAATTTTATGACATCGGTATTTACTGCAACGATTTTTGTCCCAAGGTTTTACTGTCACATTGTGCTGTCAGCCCATACTTTAGTGGGAAAGATTCTAGTATTATTTTTTCTTAAATTGCACTCACATTTTCAACCATTTTTGCATAGTGATTTTACAGCTTTACTGCCTTTTTTCCCCACTTCTCAGTGCCATTAGAGTCTTTTGAACTTCTCCATGTTTCCCAAAGCCTCAGTGAGGCTAATTAGTGTCATGTATAAAATGCATCTTTACAGATAAAAAGAGAGGCTCAAAAATAATAATAATAAAAAAGAAATGCACTCAAGCTGCTTTGCTGTCACACTTGAAGCCATCTATGATCAACAAGACATTGATGTTTGCATTTGCTGGAAGCTGGAACGAAGACAACATCTTCCTCAATCCTCAAAATTTTAATCAATCTGATTAAAATTTTTGTGTCAATTACATCAGGATAAGACAACAAACACTTTTCGGGGCGACCAACAGCCCTTAAGTCACTTGTTTAGTAGTCCATATGTGTTTAACTTAATCTCGTTGTCAATCCAGTTGATATGCAAAGGACTCATCCTCTTCATTGATGTTTGTGAACATCAATGAAGAGGATGGTGCATCATGAAGATTAAGGAACATAGAAAACAAGTCAGGGATGAAGGTGTGGAAAAACCGACAGCAGTGTTGGACTACAAAATAATTCACAAGCTTAAAACATTTAACAGAGCAATGCTGATTTCATAATCTGAAATTCAAAACTGAACAGCACAATTGCCAACTTTCCAAAATTTGAGTTGATTCTTGCTTATATTGAGAGGTTGAAAGAGAACATTAACCAGAGAAGCAGCTAGAAAGGCCCACATTGACTCTGCAGGAGCTGCAGAGATCCACAGTTCAGGCGGGATGGATCTGTTGACTGTTGTTGAAAATTTCCCAAATTAATTCCCCTTTCCTTTTTTCTGTTTTCACGTCTTACCTATTTTGAACAAAACAGCAGGAAAACATGACTTACTAAGTATAACTAAATATGCTGACTGAATTCAATAGTAATGAATGAACCATTACTTATTTAAGAGGAATTGTTTGCAGTGCCAGTAATTGTGACAGCAATGACAAATATTTCAGTCAAATTTGTTTCCAGTTGAATAAAATTGAAGGTTAAATTATAATTTTTCTAATTTACAGTGTGAGGTTAACCACCGCAAAAAAGATCAATACATTTTAAGGCGTTTGCGCATCATTACAAGGTGTGGTGATAAATGTGAAATGCACTGCGGATGTGAAAGGTAAAAGAAATGGTAATGATGGTGGTAAATTACCTAAGGAGGAACATTATGAACACAGAGAGACTATTAACCTGCGTAAAGGCATTCAATCTGTAAAGTCGGAGTCATATTCAAGGTTCTGTTAGTGAATATAGATTTGACACCCCACAGCGAGAGAATTAATCATACACCGTTTCCAGGAGCCCTCCCACTGTGAAGTCTGGCTACAGAACAGACATTGTACAACTATTCCTTGCTCTCTGCGGTTGTTTTTAGCATATTTAGGGCACCTCTTACGCCCACCTTTAACACATCTCCCCACATCAACTGGGATTACACAGCAGAGTATGAATCGAGAGTGATTTTAGGCTCTTAGCGTAGTTTTGTGGCAAAGAAAGAGCGCTTCCTAAGCCCTCATTGTTGTGAGTGCTGTGTGTGTCTGTCTGGGGTGTTTCAGTGTTTAATGGCCTCACTATTTCCTGAATAAAATGAAGCTGACGTTTTTATGGCAGAGGGAAGACTCCGACTGGGTGCTTGTGATCAATCAAAGACGTAATTGATTAAGAAGAGCGGGACTATTTCTGTCTTCCTACTCGTATTTTTTTCCCCCTGCCTGGGGCACACGCTCACATTTCTATCCTCTAACTTCCTTTTCCAATGATTCTGTAGTGTTGTTTTTTTCCCCCTTCCTTCCTTTATTTTTCTAAATCCATCACTATAATTGCAGTACTTGCCTTCTTTTGTCAATTTTCCTTTATTTTGTGATCTGACAGACATTTTTCTCCCCTCTACTGCCCCCACCCAGGGTCAGTGCAGGGTCCACACCAGCGTTATCTTCTCAAAGAACTGCTGAGGGACTACAACCCTATGGAGAGACCAGTGGCCAACGACTCCCAGGCCCTCACTGTTCACTTCTCCGTCACGCTAATACAGGTCATGGATGTGGTACGCCTCAGTAGTCCTAATTATTATTATTATTATTAACTCAGAAAATACTGTTAACCAAGAAAATTTTAGAATAAAAGTCTGAGCTGTTTATATAGTTACCAAAACATTTTATTTAATTTTATGTTAGACCTTTCAGGTGTTTGATCTATTATTTAAAGGGTTTGCGGGTTTTTGTTTTAGTAGTATTCCATCCATTTGTAAACCACACAGCCTATCCTTTACCTGAAAAACCTTCACACAAACAACTCCAGTGAGACTGCTGGATAAATGTGCCCATAAAAGATATTACCTTTAATTAAAACCTGATTAAGTTTTTCAAATACTTGGACTTCTTCCAAGAATTTGGTGGCAAAGCATGCACTCTTCTTGAATGAAAGATTGAAGCTTCTTGAACTTTAATGCTCTTCTTGTGGATCATGCCATGGCATCTTACTAGGGTATTAGCCCAGACTTTGAGTAGGCCACTTGAAAATCTTTATTTGATATAACTGATCATTGTCTTGCTGGATAACCCAAGTGCTCTTCAGCTTGGGGAGGTTTTCCATCGTGATCTTCTGCCAGAAATGTTCTCTGAGTGAATTGTTGATCCGAGAGGACAGACAGAACTACTAGTGAAAATAAACCCCAAAACGTGGTGAAGAACAGTGTTTCCATTATATAACCAATTCCATTATACAATGTTTAAATTACATAATGAAATGATTAAACTTTTATGTTAACAATAAGACCCACTTAGTTAATAAATCTGCTTCCAAGGGAGGAGACACAGTCAAGACAATGGCAGTACAGATCATAATTATGCAATTAAAAAAACATACATATATATATATATATATATATAATATATATTATATATATATATATATATATATATATATATATATATATATATATATATATATATATATATATATATATATATATATATATATATATAAACTCAGATCTCTTTGTTTGATATTAAAATTTGTTTCAGAACATGAAAAAAAGAGCAAAAATATCCAAATCAGATGAAAAATAAGTCTGTAAAGGTGTGAAGACTTTTAGCATCTCTGTAGCTGTAACGAGGTCACACTTTGTTGAGCCTGGAGGATTTCTCTCCTCATGGTTGGAGAACATTTCAAGTGCCTCTGGAATTTTCTGCACAAGCTGCCATGTGCCTCAGGGCAAGCAACTGCTTTTCACTGGCCACCTTTTGATGAAAGACTGATTGGTGAAGTGTTGCTTTGATTATTGCCCTTATGTAAAGTGCTCCCACCTTGCAGAGCTCTCTTTTGTAGTGGGAATTAGCTTGTGAGCTATGTGTCAATGCAAAAGCTTTTTTTCTATAATCCTTGATTTCTAAGTAAGGCAGCTGTTGGGAAGAATATTTGGAGAAGATTATAGACTTCTTCCAAATACACAATACAGAAAGAAATTGTTTGAACGCCTTAATGATGAAGATATTCTTAGCTTGCTGCCTCAAATTGTGACTTGGATGCAGTCATGCCTCACAAGTCATGGTTTAACCCTAACTGTACAGCACATCAAAGCTCAGCTGGAGGCTTCAGAACAAAGGTTCTAAGACTTTCACAAGCTGGACTTTTCACACATCCATGTCATGAATCTCAAACATTAGGTTAAGGAAAATTGCAGAACCTTAAATACTCATGCTGAAATTGTCTTATTCACTTAGCTGTAACAGAAAGTTATTGTGACTGTGTCTCTGGATGAATGAGCATGAGAGATTCTTTGTTGTTTTGAATGTTTTCTTTTAATTCTTCGCTTTTTAAAATGCAAAGAATAAAGAAGAGCATGTAAATTACCAACACTACTGTATCCTGAAACTAAATGCAAAGTATAGGAAAAACCAACAAACGCAAGTCTTAAAAACGTAGAACAGTTATTTTTTGCAAAGTCCTTTATTATCTTATTTGCTTTGTGTCATGCAAGGATGAGAAGAATCAGATCCTCACCACAAATGCCTGGCTGCAGATGGTGAGTATAATAGATAACATTAATAATGTGGTATTGATCTGTGTTGCAGAAAGCTTTTTTGCAGGCTGCTGCCCATTGCAGTAGTATTCTCAGTGTCATCCCGGATGCTGCTTGGCTTTCATTATCATGATAATGGGTTGCTCACAAGGATGACAGCTTCTTTCTCCTTCCCTAAACATGGCCTTATGCGAGCTCAATGAATTTCTTTTTACTTTAGTCTTATAGCTCAAAAACCTAATGTGCACCATGAGACTTTATAAGCATGAGGTTAAATGAAGACGATGCCCCAGTAGAGTGTGAGCTGACAAGAAACATGTTTCCCTCAGGAAAAAAGAAAACGGTAAAGGCGATGCAGTATGTACATAATTTAGCACTTGTTTATATCATTTCATGCTTGTGCCTCACAGCAGTGGTATGACCACTATCTCCAGTGGAACCAGTCAGAGTATCCGGGAGTCAAGAACCTCCGTTTTACCCCTGACCAGGTCTGGACCCCTGACATATTGCTCTACAACAGGTGTGGGACTCATGCATTCTAAAAAAAACCCATTTAAGGCTCCTGCAGCTTCTAAATATATGGAAATGTATTTTATTGTCATGCAAATTAGAAAAACATAATACTGAGCATGTTTTTTTTTCCCCCCAATACTTGATGCCTTAGTCTTTCACTTTAAAGAAAAACATCTAAACAAAACGAGAGATGTTTGGGGTTTGAATGGGATTTTTTCATAACAAACAGATTAAAGTATGGACGTTAATTTAGCCACTCCGTTATCATCATTATTTGAAAACCCTGTCCTCATCTGATATTAAAATGATCTTGAAGTTCCTCTTGAAATGATGTCATTTATAGATGGAAGGATTTAAAAATTGAAAATGAGAGGATTAATTGTACATACAGAGTCTGGTCTCTGGTGAGGAAGAAAATAGGAGCACCTTCAACAATATCACGCATAGTAAAAATAGCCAAGATCACTGACTTTTTTTCCAAACAAACTGGATAGGGGTTATCAGAGAGATAACACAGAAAGGATTAATAAGAATTAATCAATTATTCATTGGAGAAACTCTTTAGTCATTTAGGCAGTTAAAAGATAAATATGGATTACGCTCAAAAGATTTCTAAAAGTACTTACAATTAAGGGATTACCTTTAATCACAAAGAATGGCCTACCTTGAAACAAAATACATCACCCTTAGAAATATTTCTGATAAACTATGTAGAGGACCATAATAAGAGGAAGATTATATCTAATCAATATAAATTTACAAATGCATTTCGCTGACAATTCTTTAGCTATAAAGCAAAAGTGGAAAATAGAAATGAATATTATTATTGAAGAGGAGGAGTGGGAGGAGATTTGTGAAAAAGGTTTTAAGATCGCCCACAGTCCAGGTTGGAAATTCAAAATGAGATTCTTCAAAACACCTTTCAGTATTTCAATGACAGAAGTGCTGTAAATTTTGCTGGAGGGGCCGTTAGTCAGATTGGGGATGACGCTCACATTTTTTTGGGACTGCCCGGTACTGATCTGGCAGGGGATTCAGACAGAAATCAAAAAAATATTTAAGTTCACGTTACCACTGAACCCACTGCATTATATATCGGGTTTGACCCCAGGAGAAGATATTTGGAAAAATGAAGCCCAGTTATTACAGATTCTGCTACTAGTAGCAAGAAAAATGATAACTCTGTCCTGGCTCAAGCGTTCACCTCCCACCCTTCAACAATGGCAAGAAAGACTAAAAAATGTGTATATAATAGGAATGATAACAGCAAAACTTCATGTAAAAATTGACATTTTTCTGAGTGTATGGACCCCAACTATTTCCCACTTTGGACATATGTTGGAGTCATAACATTCTTAAGGAAAGAATCTTTAAAAAAAAATGTATCTTAAAGTTAGAATTTTTTTTCACATTGGACTTTTCACATTTGTAATTTTTCTTACATTTTTAAGAATTTCTAATATTCAAAATGTCACAAATATAACCAAGTCTAATTATTTGACTCTGAGAAAGTTTGCAATTCAACCCAAAGATCTGCTGCTGCTTAAACCTTCCTCACTTTACTGTCTTTTTTCAGTGCTCATGATAAGTTCGATGCCACATTTAAGACCAACGTGCTGGTTAACTCGAGTGGCTTCTGTGAGTATCTGCCTCCAGGTAGGTCTGCATAGCTGGAACCTCCGAATTTAACTTGTTTACTCAATCACAAAATATACTCATCTGGCAGAAAATTGATTTAGAACAATGTCTGCTGCGTTCAAATATTTTTAATTTTCCCCTTCTTCCACATGACTGCCAGGAGAGTTAATTATTAATCACATCCTCTCTGTGTCACATATAGGGGGGTGAATGTTACTCTGCTGTAAATAATTTTTTTTTTTCTTGTCTCTGAATTTTAAGGGATATTTGTCAGCACATGTAATGTGGATGTGAGATGGTTTCCATTTGACATCCAGCGCTGTGAGCTGAAGTTCGGCTCTTGGACTTTTGATGGCTGGCTGCTGGACATCCAGATGAGGGAGGCAGATGTGTCGGGGTACATGCCCAATGGAGAGTGGGACCTTATGGGTATGAATGCATAGAAACTGGGCTGGAATATAATGCATCTGGAAATATTTACAGACTAATTAAACCTGTCAGAATTCAGAGCATCGTTCCTCAGATTTTTATTAATTACAAAAGGCAGCATTTTAAATCCTGCTGTGTGCACGGCATTTCAATTGAAAATGTATATTTAGCTATTTTGTGATAAATTCTGCTCCTGCGCCACATTTTTTCTCATGCCTCCCCTGTAACTGCACAAAACACAGAAGATTTTATTAGTTGCATCAGTCACGTTCTGCTGCAGAACAATAAAATGTTGTGCCGCATCTTTTTATTTCCCCCGTCTTTTCAGAGGTCCCCGGAGGTCGTAATGAGGTTTTCTATGACTGCTGTGCAGAGCCGTACCCAGATGTGACGTTTGTGGTAACGCTAAGAAGGAGAACCCTCTTCTATGCTCTCAACCTGCTCATCCCATGCGTGCTCCTGTCCTCCATGACCCTGCTGGTCTTCCTGCTCCCCGCCAACTCGGGGGAGAAGATCAGCCTTGGTGAGAAACCACAACTGGAAAGAGGTGGTGGGATGAAATGAAAAGGACACACTGAGACCGTGGATTTAATGTCTAATCTTTTCATGTCTACCTGTGCGTACAGTGCCTTATTAATATATTTATATCCACGAGCTTTATCACAGTAAACCCATAAACTTTATATATTTTACTGGGATTTTATGCGAACAACATAAAGTAATGTAAAATGGTGAAGGTAAAAAATTACTTCTTTTTTCCAAATTTTAATGACTAAGAAATTCAAAAGTCTGGTGTGCATTTATATATAATTCCCTTTACTCCAAAATAAATATTCACTCAGAAGTTAAGATAAAACTGAAAGCAAAATATAGTTTTGTTTCTAGATAATTCTGCTGTAGTATAGAATAACTTCAGACCTACAAAGACATGATCATCGAGCTAGAGTAGCAGGTTGAGCAGAAGGGGGCATGTTGAACTTTTGAAAAAACACAACACACTACTTTGTGTTGGCTTAAGAATAAAAAACCCAAATAAATTACTCATGATTTTGATTGAGTAATCTAATGTGAAAGAATGCAAGGAACATGAATACCTTTGAGCTATTTTAAATTGTTTTTCCTCTAATCTCGGTACTATATTAAAGAGGAATGAACCAAATGGAAGGAAAGTGGGGACAATGACAGAAAGGTTAAAAAGATGAACTAAGTACAACTTTTGGAGTGTCAGGAAGATGGATAATAGAGGTAGATGATCAAATACATCATAAATATTTCACTGTGGCACTTTCCTGTACCTCCATACTTAAAAGACGGTATTTTTTCTCACTGTGACTCCCGGGTGTGCTGTGTCTGCCTTCAGGCATCACCGTTCTGCTTTCTCTAACTGTCTTCATGCTGATGGTTGCAGAGATAATGCCCGCCACTTCCGACTCCGTGCCACTGATCGGTTAGTTGTTTTTGCTTACATGCATACCGGCGCATCACATCTGGATGTTGTTGTCTTTTGTGGTTACTAACGTGTGTGCTTCAGGTCAGTACTTTGCCAGCACCATGGTGATTGTTGGTATGTCGGTGGTAGCCACAGTCATTGTCCTCCAGTTTCATCACCACAGTCTGAACAGTGGACAAATGCCACGCTGGGTGAGTTTTTCACAACATTAGCTCATTAGATGGATGTCTCCAATAACATGGAGGAAATTTCAAGTCAAAAGTTTGAATATTTTTGCAAGGCTTTTGCTTGTTTAGTTGTCACTGCAGAAATAAGACAGTGCACTACATCTGCAAAGTCTGCTAAATCATCAGAAGGACTATTTCCAGTAAACTCTGAGTTTAATTTGCCTTATTCTATAAGAGCAGTTTTCTCATAAAGGCTTTTTGCTCTTTCATTGACCTCAATGGTTCCTGTTAACTGCAATTTCTTAATTACATTAAAAACTCTGAAAATGGCCACTTGAAAACACTTATTATCCTGCTGTGATGGACATCAATTATGTTATTTTACTGTGCCAGCCTGGGAAATGGGTTATAAGGAACCCATAAATGCTGACTGATAAATATTGCTGATGTTGTATTTTGCAGGTTTTAAAATCACGAGCCCTTCTTTGATGGAAATAGTGGACAAATCATATCCAATTACTTAGGTGCCCAACTTTATTTACACAGCTTCTTTCTGTTTTGTAATTTGCAATGGACAAATATAAAAATTCAAAATGTTTCTTATTCAACGAGAGACATAAGCAGCTTTTATATGAATCCCTTTCTAATGACCTAAGGCAACATTAGAAAGGGGTCCAGAAAAAGGAAATATGTTATTTATTTGTCAGTTGTGCATGCAGAAGTTTTCTTTTGCTTTTGTACATAACCCACTATGGAGGGAGCTAGCATTTCTGTATGCTGACTAGGAGTCTCTTGGTTGCAGTGGAAAACAGGAAGGATTTTGCAGAACTGTGCTACAATTTTTCACTCATCCAATTTTTGCATCTTAATTAGTTTTGGGGCAGCAAAAGGATCCACCAAACTAGAGACCATGCAAATTTAAGCCAATTGCAGTTGCTTCAATTTGTGATTGTGCTTGTCAATCGTATATATGTATTTTGATTGTGTCGTGGTGTCATTGACCTTCAGGTGCACTTGGTTCTGCTGCAGTGGGTTCCTTGGTTTCTGCGCATGAAGCGACCAGGAGAGGGAGCAGAACCCACTTTATCCAACAGCCAAGCAGACTCTCACAGCAAGACTCTATCCTCTCCGACGACCACCACCACCACGATCCCCATCCCTATCCCAGCTCCTTCCATCCTGCCACAAAGTCTCGGTGCCCTGCAGGTGAGCTTGGCACAGCTCAGCCACCCTCTGTCCCATCAACTTCCTCAACGCCCCCAGGTTAATATCCAGCCTAACCCTGGTTCCAATCCACCACCTCAGCCCAATGGTCATCTGCCTTACATGGGCTTTCAGACCTTACAGACCACCGCTGAACTAGAACCTGTTCAGAGGTGCCGGACTACCAGCCATGGGCGGGTCAACAGAGGATCCAGTGGAGGAGGAGAAGGAGATGAAGGGGCAGCAGTAGGAGGAGGTGCGGTGGGAACGATTGGAGATATACCGATACATCAGCACCTCCAGTCTTCAAAGTTTGTGAGCCCCCCACTGGAAACTCTAGTATCTCCAGACCCTGAGCATACAGGCGCAGCCACAGGACCCTGTGGCTTAGACCCTGGGGGTGGGAGATCCGCTGCCCTCCAGAGCCACAGTGGGATGATTCGATCTGTTGCTGTGGACAACCAGCTACAGGCTCTTCTAACAGAGGTGCAGTTCTTAGTGGAACGCGTTCGCGAGCAGGACCGTCAGCTGAGTTTAGCAGAGCAGTGGCAGTTCGCTGCTGCCGTCATCGACCGCCTGTGCCTGGTCGGATTCAGTGTTTTCAACATCATCTGCACAATTGCTATCCTCATGGCTGCTCCTAACTTTGGGATAGCGCTATCAAAAGACTTCCTCTGAGAAATAAAGAAGCAAGTCTGATAAAGAGGGTGGTGCAATGAGACGCTGATGGAAGCACAATTTTGATTTTAAAAGCGGGAAAGGACTATTCTCAGTGACTCAGAAACTTTAAAGTTAATTTTCTTATGGAACATATATAGAACTCATTATGCAGCTATATGTGAAAATAATCTGACTTCAATTAAACTTGTATAAAGACTAGCATTCGTAAGATGATGCCCAGTTGAGAGCAGTACAGAGTTACATTTATTTTTGTGTGTCTTCATTTCAACTATAAATTGTGACATTCTGAAATTATGCAATTGGTTTGCCTGCTTCCACTGGGCTTTGCACTGTCTGAAGGTTTTGGTTTAATCTCTATGTTGAGGCCTGCCAACAGCAGCCGTCAGATCTTACTCATTAAGCTAACTAGCTGAACATGGCAATCAGCCACCCATCAGTTAAAGCCAATGCTACATGTGCTAATGAACAGCAAAGCTTTGATCCATCAGGGTGGAAAACCTGAATAACCTGTGTCAAACTGTCGAGATTGAGGAACGTTTCCTTGCATCTGGGAAAATGAAGAAATAAACATATATCCACTGCCTTAATGACTCTTAAGATAATGTTCCAAAAAAGGTGTTGAACTCGTCCATATTTTGTTGCCACTCTCTGATATCGCTGTCCTAGAGTCACAGACCACATACAGAGAAGCTTATAAACACTTGGAATCATGTAGATGTAGCTTTTCTATGAAAATAACAAGTAAAGCCCTCAGCTGCAGTGGTATCTATACATGCTCACTGTACACAATATATATATATATGGTTCTGTTTTTGGGATTACCTGACTGGTAAAGTATCTGTCCCTATTTAATATTATCTGACTTTCTTATTAATAATGTAATAAAAAAAATTAAATTTTTTATTCTTGTAAGTATCTTTTAGTACCATAGGCTGAAAAATAGTCCCACACTATGATTTCATCACCTACCAACTTTAGTGTTGCTGTGGTGTTTTTGAGGGCTAATGTGGAGTGCCATACCTCCCCCAAATTAGGTATATCAGATTTTATCTGACCAGACTATAATTTTCCAGTATTTCAATGACTTATCCAAATATTCTACAGCAAACAAAAATGCTTCAGAATGCTTTTTCTTCGACAGTGGAGTCTTGCACTGAGTGGACATAGAGGGCTATACAGTTATGTGATTTACTTATCTCTGAAGTTCTCAGACGTATGTTTTGATTGCTAGTTGTTTGCTCTGCAACTAAGGTGAAGGGACTAAGAGAGAGCTATTCTTTCAACAAAGCATGACTTTGTTTAATACCTGGGTGACGATGACCTACGAAGCACTCAGTTAAAAATACAAAAGTTTAGATTCAGTAGTTCTGATATAAGCAGGGCTTTCTTCTAAATACTGACATACTTCAGCTTGTTTCTTGACATTCAGTGGTTTCTGCTGTTCATTTTACTTCATGTTTCTAACACCCTGTTTCACTCAATTTTTTTCATAGTCTAATTTATGGCAGTTTTTGTTTTTAGCTATTTGCAGGTGTAGGTAACGCCACTTGTTAATGACATATGGCGAGAACATATCTATAATGAAAAACACTAATGTGTTTCCACATAAGCTAAAAATTTGAATGACTGACCCATGGGTGCATCCATAAATGGCCAGTGAAGCTATTACAGCATTTGAATCTTGGTCAAAAATTTGGTGTCTGAATGCCAAGAATGGATTGTGATGTTGGCTGGCTAGAAAAATGCTCTCTTGCACTATTTTTCACAACCTTTTACATAAAAATGAAAGGTGTAAGCAGACATGGGCAAACATCTTTTCATAAGCTGTGCTTCTAATACCACAAAGTATAATGATCGTCTACATTTTTTTCTATACAAAGAAGTGAAAAATGAGACTACTCTCAGCACTCTGGGTGTGCAATTATAATCTGCTGAAAGCAGGTCCTCTAGTCTAAAGGGGTCTTAGACTAGACTTAGACTAGAGGACCCCTAATTAAATTATTAATTCAAAGTTCATATTTGAATTACTACGTAATACATTAAGATTTATAACCTAGATTTGGCCTTGACTCAATTATAAAAAAAAACAAAAAAAAAACTTTACTGTGGAGTTTATATGTTTAAAGCTTCACAGTGTACATATAAAGTTTTATCAAAACAAATAAAAGTGCTTAAAATTACCATATTGATTTATTGCTGGAACGTGTTTTGGTGCTTTCTTTACTTAAAAACTGATCTAAAGGAAGGGGGAATATGACCAATTTAAGTTTGTCTTGTTGCTTTCAGTTTGTGAATGATCAAAGCAGTACTTCTAACAAATGGGCAACATTTACCAAATACAGTCCAGCCACAGCTCTGTATGTACTGAAATATCATCCAGTCAAGATGCCCACAAACTTTTTGAGTTTGGCTCCATGTTCTGTAAATAATTTTTCAGGATGCGCATCAGATTGTATAAATCCCTGAAGTTATTAATGTTATCAATAAACCCGATCATCGACCGCCCCCAGGTTAACGTGATGCAAAAATTATTCATTTTTGCATCACGTTAGCTGGTTTCAGTGTAAGAGTTTAATTTCTGTGGAGCAAAAAGCAAACAGGTAGTTCATCTAAAATGCTCAGTAAGATGATGTTTATTCTATTTATTAGTGTGATTCAGCACCTGCCACTATTACTGGCATGCCGGGAAAAGATATGTGCAAAGGCCTCAAAGTAAAATAGTGTCATAAAGACTTGGTGAAGCAAATCTTTGCTGCATTGATGTCAGAAGACTTTTATTCTCCACAAAGTGTGTGTCAAACTTCGGTTGTCTCCCAGTCTTATTTTTTACAGTTTTGGATGTTTATAGATTTGATATTGTGGATCTGCAGATAGTAAAGCAAACAGGTACTTGTAACATCATACATCTTAAACAGGAAGTGACCAATGGCCTGTCGAACTTCCCTATCAACTTAATAAAGTTAACAGGAAGTGTGTAACAAACAAAGCCATGGCATCAATTGTAATTATTATATTATCAGTGGTATAAATGTGTGTGGCACTGTCAAGTCAAGTTTATTAGTATAACACCCTTTAGTAACCAGACATTTCAAAGTGCTTTTCACCTGAAAAACATAATTAACACATTATAAAACAACATAATCTGTTATATTTTTGTCAAATACCATCATCAAAATAATCAACGAAATCAAATATGTTGATCAATCGCTGTGGTGGGTGGTAATTTGCTGACCCAAATGTAATATAAAGATTTTAAATATTTCACTCAATGGTAGAAAATTCATGAAATGGAATATTTTATTAATAGAAATAGAATGTTCTATAAATATTTTATTCGTACAATATGTGAATTTCACTTTCTGAAAAGGGAAAATTTATTTTATTTTTTTTTGTACATTTTTTTGGGTATTTTTATTTTTGAGATGTACCTGTAGAGCATATTTAAGTGGCAGAATGGCTCAGAGAAAAGCTTGGCCACAAATCAATTTAAGCTGTCCATTCCATTCGACAGCTTGAGCAGTTTTGGCACAGGGGCATGTGTGTATTTAAAAAACTGGTTGACATTTCTTCCAGTTCACACTTAAGCACCTCTTGGTGCTGGTCTATCGCAGAAGATTGCTATGAAATGCATTGAAGTTTGCAGTTTTAAGGCGATAACCTGTGAAAAAGTTTGGAAAAGATTATTATTTTGGTAAATGCTTAGACATGGTGCAGAAGTATTCAAATACAGACTGAGATGTGAATATTTCAAAGTACTGTCTCCTCAGTTTCTATTTCTAACTTGGCTTCCTCGTGAGCCAAATTTTGAAAGAGGATGCAGCATTGGGAAAGCGGTAGTGAGGGAGAGGAACATGAGCCTGAGAGGAAAGGAAGGATAGAGGAAATGAAGCGCAGCAATAAAGGAAAGGCAGGAGGCAAAAGAGCTTTGCAGAGATGGACAGAGATGATGCAGAATGAAAGGAGGGAACGAGGTGTCTTCATAGGTTGGTTGATAGAAAGAGACGAGGGAGCAAAAAAATGTGCTGAGGGAGCAGGTTGGGACCAATAAAGTTTTTAACTGATTGGTCATTAATGAGAGAGAGAGGAGTGGAGAGGTTGAAAGGAAAAGAAGAGACTCCGCCTTTCCTTTCCCCCCAGTCTCCTCGTAGATGCTGCAGCTGCTAAACTGCGCTTAGACCAGCATTTAAGGGTGACTGGACATATATTCAGAACTGATAGAGGCTGTCTTTAACAAGATTTATGCAATGGATACTGGCAAAAATTCCAGTTTTAAAATGATTGACCATGAAATGATGCAAACACTTTATGATAATAGAATTTGGCTAATTGATGTCTTGGCAGAGCCATATTCATACCTTTGACTTTGATGCCATTAATTTGACTTTAAACCTCTTCATTTCAAGCATGCTGTGTAAGAGACACCCCGGGGGAAGTCAGTGGCCTACTGAACTCCTTTTGTCTGCATACGACGAGTGCGGCTGCTGAGAATTGCACCACAGCAGAGGTAATAAATTTTCAGAGGCTCTCCTCCTCCACAGACTCAGTCATCCACCTGCTCTGTGCCGACAGCTCATGCGGAGCTCTTTGTTCAGAGGAGAAGTGAGCCGAGTCGTGCAACACAGTCCAACAAGCAGGAGGGCGGGATGCAGAACATCTGTCTTTGGTGTCAGTGGCCCACTGCGATCTGTGGCTGCAGATGTCGCACTCATTTGCACAAATAAAAAGCAGAAACTAAATCCCAGAGATGGGAGTGTGGGGACCCGCTGCAGGCTCAATGCGGTAATCACTAAAACTCCTGAAGCCCTCTCCAGATTTCATGCACACAACCTGTTAACACACTGCTGTTGCTGCGGTACAGTTCAGTCAGTTCTGGTGCTGCTGCTGATGTTCGTGTGGAGAAAATAAACACAGGGAGAACATTTAAAAATATACAACAAATGGTCCAAAGTGCAAACTGCACATTTAAAAACACCTTATTTTCTTCATTCCATACAAAATCATTTTGACCACTGTGCATCTGTTTAGCTGTGTCTTTATTCTCGACTGAACCATTTCTTAAAGAAAGCACCTTTTGCTCAGTCTTTGTGTTTAGTTTTGTGTCTTTCCTAGATATAACTTTAGGGTTGGACTATAAATCGCATATAATGTGAGCGATATCAATAGATAACCTATAATAGGTTTTAGCTGATCAACCTCCTACAGCAAGCTAATGAACACAGGTGGCATCAACTAGATCACTAACCTACCAACCTGTTGAGTAACTTGTGCAGCAGCAGGTTTATGTTTCGCCACCATGCCTGCAAACCGCTTAAAAATAAACAGCAGTGGTGTGGAAACTGTAAATGAAACAGGAAAGATCACGCAAACAGCGTGGCAGTATTCTGGATATTTAAAACAAAATACAAATCAATAATTATCAATAGACAATTATCAATAGTCTGGTTTGAAACACATTATGATAAGTTGTTCAGCCATATTGCCCAGCCCTACTTTAGCTATTGCTAACTTGTTTTCTCTTTCTATATAAAATACTCCTGGCTCTGTGCTTTTCTGTTTAACTTTGTCCCATTTAACACCATTGAACTTC